AAGTCCAAAGGAGCCTGCATCTGAGGAGAAACCACAGAAGTCTCTAAATGAAAAGCAGCAGGTGCGTGGTCTGCTTGCTTGCCCCAAAGAATTACCAGATCGCTTATGCTTGTTAATCATAATGTTACAGTTAAATTCAGAAATATTTTTTGTACAATTTTATCTTTTTTACAGGAGAACCAAGACTTGCTGATTAAGTGCATTTCACAAGATTTGGGCTTTTCTGGAGGCAAACCAATTGCAGCTTGTCTCATATACAAATGTCTGCTCCACTGGAGGTCCTTCGAAGTTGAAAGAACTAGTGTTTTTGACCGTATAATACAAACCATTGCTTCAGCCATCGAGGTAGAAAGCTTATTACTCTGGTAATGTTGTACCATTCAAGTTTTCTCTGACTTTGTGTTTATAAATCTAAGACAATTAATTTCTGAAACTTCTTCATTAAAGGTCCCAGATAATAATGATGTATTAGCATACTGGTTATGCAATACGTCCACATTATTGATGCTGCTTCAACAAACACTTAAAGCTAGCGGGGCTGCTAGTTTGACTCCGCAGAGGCGGAGAACCAGTTCAGCTTCTTTGTTTGGGAGGATGTCCCAAGTATGAGCTCTGTGATTTATATTAAGTTCTTCAGTTTCAGCCATTTGCCCAATTTATAAGTCATGTCTTAGTTATTTTTGTCCTCTGCTACCTCTAATATTTATGTAGGGCTTACGAGGTTCTCCCCAGAGTGCTGGACTTTCAGTTCTCAATGGGCGTATGCTTGGGAGATTGGATGACTTACGTCATGTTGAGGCCAAATATCCTGCACTGCTGTTCAAGCAGCAGCTCACTGCCTTTTTGGAGAAAATATATGGAATGATAAGAGACAATCTGAAGAAAGAGATCTCCCCATTGCTTGGGCTATGTATTCAGGTACATTATTTTGTATGTGCTACTTATGCCACAAGTCCAAGCAAGCTTATGAAATAGAATGTTTACTGCTCGATGTGTAGTTTCAGCAAGTCCCTACGCTTAAGGTAGTATGATGTGATAAACTGTGGAAGTTTTAGGACTTGGATTGGTTGATGCATTGTACCACTGAGAAGTTCTCTGATGCTTGAACCAGTCAAGTGTTAAAGCAACAAAATCTTACAGATTGATTGTCACTTAAGAAAGTTAATGTGTTGTAAATTATGCAGCACACGAGCTCTTGAATGTCTCTGCACGGCAGAGTTATTAGTTTCTAATATCTATTAAAATAATAAAATCACTAAAGTAATAAATCAGACAAATCCCCAATCATCAGTAGAGCTCCCGAGAATGGCTAGTGAGGATACTTGTCTTCAAGCCTAGGGTGTTGGAACAAGTGGATCTTTCCAGGTTTAGTACTATGCCTTGAAGCTGAAAATTTATATAAAGGCACCACTTTTCTCTTTGGGTCATTGTGTTACCTATGTTTATTATGTTCTCTCCCAATGTGAGAATATTTTGCTGCCGAGAGAAAGAGGGAAGGAGTTAATTTGTAGGAACATTATCTGCATCATGTCTGCAGGCACCGAGAACATCTCGTGCAAGTTTAGTCAAAGGAAGATCCCAAGCTAATGCTGCTGCCCAGCAAGCTCTATTTGCTCATTGGCAAAGCATTGTGAAAAGTTTGAACAACTACTTGATGATGATGAAAGCAAACTATGTAAGTTAAAAATTGGAGAGCTATATAATAGCAATAGTCATTTTGTCTCCCTGATGTTTATGTGTTTCCATTGCTCCACCCATGTAGGCTCCTCCTTTCTTGGTTCGGAAGGTTTTCACTCAAATATTCTCCTTTATCAATGTTCAACTTTTCAACAGGTAACTACAGGCCTTTAAGGACTGTAAAATCTGTGTGCATTCTGTACGTTAAGTATATTTTATTTGGCACATTGGCACCTTCTTATGTATCTGTGTTTTAACTTTCTCTACAAACAGTCTCCTTTTGCGGCGGGAGTGTTGCTCGTTCAGTAATGGAGAGTTTGTGAAAGCTGGGTTGGCTGAATTGGAACAGTGGTGCTGCTATGCAACTGAAGAAGTAAGCATGTTCCACTGTATCTTTTCAATTCCTATCCAGTATCTTACTTCTGTATTTTCATGTCCAGTATGTAGGCTCAGCATGGGACGAGTTGAAGCACATTAGACAAGCAGTTGGATTCCTAGTAAGAACTAATTTAGTGTCTTTGTGCAAAACGAACTTTCATATGATCACGTGCCTTTATCTGACTCTTTCTCCCCTCAATTTCTTGCAGGTTATACATCAAAAGCCCAAAAAGACATTGCATGAGATCACTAATGAACTTTGTCCAGTAAGGAGACTTAGTTCTATATTTCTCTTCTGTTCTTGTTCCAGTTTGTTGTTCCTTAAATATGGTTGTTTCTTTTACTTCTCAGAAGAAAAAAAATTCCTGTTTCTTTATCGAATTCTCATTCGCTGTTTTTCTTTTATAATTCACATGGCTATTTTTTATTAGGTGCTTAGCATACAGCAACTGTATAGGATCAGCACTATGTACTGGGATGACAAATACGGAACCCACACTGTTTCTTCAGATGTAAGATCTTGCACCTACAGTTTTAATGCGATGTAGGTCTTCAGTAGTTTTTGTTTTGTTATAGTACAGTTTGCTTGTTTCCTGATTTCCCTATATGGTTTCTGTTTCCGTCCCACTGATAGGTTATTTCAAGTATGAGAGTTATGATGACAGAAGACTCCAATAATGCTGTTAGCAGTTCCTTTTTGTTGGATGATGACTCGAGGTATCATTTATTAAATAACTCATTTCTCAATATTTAGCACATATTTACGTTTTACTGACCATCTCAAATTCATATCCTGTCTTAAATTATGATGCAGCATCCCGTTCTCCGTGGATGACATCTCCAAATCAATCCAACAAGTAGACATTGCCGATGTTGAACCTCCTCCATTAATCCGTGAGAATTCAGCATTTGTATTTTTACATCAACGCTCTAGTTGATGGTGGTTTCCGAATATCACTCAACATGGACTTTGATGGATGTTCGCGTAGCTCCAGAGAGCTGGCTCTCCTGCACATCAAGGAACATGCAGATACTTGTGCATATAATTACATCGCTTGTTGCATTTAATGGCTAGTGTATATTTTTCTCCACTTGTTTTTGGACAACCGTCTCAGTTTGTTGTCCCGTTCAATTTATTCTTTTCTCCTCTCATGCTTAACTTGAGAGGTATTTTTATTAGGCCAAAAGGCTTTTAGTGTGATCATATGCAGGTATAGGCAGATGCATTGGTTTTTTGTTGCTTGCCTTTTTTTGAGTTGTAAAGTCACTAAAGTTGTCAGTCAGTTTTAGGTTCTTATTTGCTGTAGTGTTTAGCAAAGTGCAGTTTAAGGTTGTGTTGTATATGAACTATGAAGTGTTAAAATTGTCAACGCAGTTTGTGATTCTTTTCTTCCCATTGTTGAACTGCAAAATCGGTAGATCAGTTGAACTTATAATACAACAACAACGACCCAGTATAATCCCACAAGTGGGGTCTGGGAGGGTAATATGTACGCAGACCTTACCCCTACCCCACAGGGTAGAGAGGCTGTTTTCAGGAGACCCTCGGCTCAAAAAAGCAACAGGAGATATATTAGTACCATAAAAATGTATAATAAAATAAAATATGAAATACGAAATAGATGGCTGGTATAGTAAAACTAGCAGGTAAAGCCCTGCATCAATAGACGACCAATGCCATTTTTAGTCTAACTCCTAACTAGCTAGTCTCACTCTATCGTGCTGTAGATCAGTTGAACTTATAATATGACTGATAAATAGGGAGCTTAGTTAGAAAATCAGCAGATCATATATAAGGCCCTATTTCTGTTATATGTTTTGGCTGCACAAGTAGATCATATTTCATTACTTAAAAGTAGGGTATTTGGTTGTTGTTGAATAAAGTTCCAGCCTTGCTTAATTAGATCAATATACTTGTTGGATATAATGGAAAATAACTACTGCCTCTTTCGGTAATCTCTATTAGATTGCACAAAATTGTAATACTTGGTATACTCATAATAAATGGTGTCCTTCGAGTTGATTTTGAGAATCAAAATTATGATAATATAGCATAAAAGGGCAGGACTGCAGGGGGGTATTTATAGCCTATTCTAATGCAAGTATTAGTGGCGGCTTTTACGGCTCGAACTTGTGTCTTATAGATTATAGTGAGATAATTTTACTGTTGCTCTAAGGCTCCCCTTCTATGATAATAGACTATCTATGCTTAAAATTGTAGTGTATTATTTTTTTTTTCACTTATTTTTAAAATTTTGAGGAATTAAAATTGGGATAAATTAAAAAATAGCCAGATTTACAAGTAGTCATTTAAAAATAGCCATAGTTTCAAAAGTCATGGAAATTTAGCTACTTTTTATGTAAAGATAAATCTGAACACTGTTCAAAATCCTGAAAATACTCCAGTATATTGTACTAGAGTTTGGAGTTTCAGTATACTTTGCTGGAACTCCAGTATATTATACTGGAGCCAGCAAAGTATACCGGTCCAGCATATTGTTCATATACATGTGCACCCAACTCCAGTATATTATGTTGGACCGGTTTCTGTTGCAGCAAAGTAGTGACTATTTTTCAATGACTTGACAAATGCTGGCTATTTTTGAATGACCAGTCCGAAAACTAGCTTGCCCGTGCTATTTTAACATTAAAGTTAGATATTAACATAGGTCCTACTGAAAACCAAAATCAATTTGTAATGACAATAACTCAAATGCAACATAAAATCTTTCATTGTCAAGAGACGCAAAAATATGCAACCTCTAAGAAGAAGAAGGTAATCGTAGGAGCAAAAGGGAAATAAGAAAACAATGGCAGACAAATAGGAAGAGTATAGCCTGGGAAAATTCTTACTAAAATTTTTACAACAAAAAAACAAGACTTCCAAAATTTCTACTTCTTAACAATATATTTGTGCAGAACAATAAATCATTAAAACAACTGTCTCAAGTGTACGAAAACAAAGTACCAAAAAGAAAAACGAAGACAATAAGTAACAAAGAAATGGAGAAGGGATAGAAATATTTTGTAGCTGAAACAGTGTTGGTAGCGTCTTGCATCCTCAAATCAAGTGGCTCCAAATCTGACCGAAAAGGGAAAATTTCATCAACTTTATGACATTTATCCAATTTTACCACATTAAAACTCTTATCTTGCAACTTGTAGAAAATAACCTCATAATAATCCTTCATCAAAGCAATATCTGCATTATAAAACCCAATTGAACTTGGATAGTTTGTCACTTTCTTTAAAATTTCAATGTCAACTTCCTTTTTCAACTCCCAACTTTGGTTTCCATTCTCAAAAACCCAAAGCTCCATCCCTTTTGGTGACAAACAAGTAAACCCCAACTTCCCTTTATACTCCACAAGTTGGTTATATCCATAATCTTTATACTCCAATGCAGGTTTTGGAAGAGAAAATCTTGAAAAAGCTTCTTCTCCATTATAGTTTAAAGCCATCACTTGATCATCTTTTCTTAACTTAAAATAAACCAATCCACTTGCATTAACTGCTGGAGCAAACATGTCAAAATACACTTCAGGAGGTAGTAATAAATCTTTTGCTTCCCTCCAAACCCAAGCTTCTGAATCAAAAATTTCACAAAGATAGTAATTCAACCCTAATTTTCTATAATGATGATAAAGAGTCCGAGGCGACGACAACCTTATGATCTTGAACTGCAAAGGATTTGATCTCAGTACAATCAGGGCGACTTTGATAGTAGAATATCGTATCCTAGGATTAGGGAGTTTAATCCATTGTTTAGTACTAGGTTTACATATGTGGTATCTATACTCCTTTCTTGTGCTTCTTACACAACACAAAATCCCTTGTTTTGACGATGCTTCAATCTTCATATCAATGTCGTTCTTGAAAATATTTTCAGGCTTTATATTTTCAACAGGAAGATATAATGGAGTTTCACCTGAACATCCACTTAATGATATGAACTCAGTAACGTACTTGGTTTTTGATAAAGATTGAACAAAAAAACCTGAAATAGTTTTGCTTTTCTCACAAAACTGTGGCATGAAATTTGATTCAAAAACCATATTATGCCATTCTTTGCTTACTGCTTTGCATGTGTCTAATGTTTTTAAGGAATTAGTTCGAGTTAATATCTCGAAAATTATATCGGAAGGAAACGGAGAAGAAGAAGAAGAAAAAGAAGAGAAAGCCATTGAATTGATAGCTGAGAGGGAAGAAAAAGTCTGTAAACTCGACGGTGTATTTTAGGTATAAAAAAAGAATATTTATAGGAGAGAGGTGACTGAAACTTTACGGTAAAGAAACAGGTAAACTTTTCCAATACTAACTGGGAAACTATTTTTTTTAATTAACTTGTTTTGCTAATGCTTTTCCCTAACGATTAGGAGAATAGTAAAATTTCAACTTTGTTAATTTGTTTAGGGGTAATAAATTTTGCAACTAAAGCTAAACACAATTACGGAAAGTTTTTAAACACCTAATATTACTACTAAATTTTGTGCCTAAAATTATACCTTTTGTATACAGATTATAATTAGTTACTATTATTTCTCCAGTCCTATCATTCTTTTTTTTGTATGAAACGGACAGCTAAGAGGAGTAGTAAAATTTCATGTTTCGTAAATTGATTAGGGTAATTATTTTGTAACGAAACTAATAAGGAACTTGAGATACTATAAAATATTGAAAGTTTTGAAACCTGTTATTATTTTACTACTAAAGTTTGTGTCTAAGCTTATAGATTTTTTATATTGACTATCATTGGGTACTATTATTTTCCCAATTTTATTATTCGTTTTGTATGAAAAAGACTTAAGGTGGTAAGTGGGCAAGAGTATAAGAATTATTACTGCCACTACTCCATTATTTAATTTCGTCGTAGTTGTTGTTGCTTATAATCAGTCACAAATATCAAAGGTTCTTTTTTTTTTTTTAAAAAAAATAAGACTTCGTATCCAATCAAATAATTTCATATAAATTACGAAGAATCACTAATTTAACTCTACTTAAAACGTGGCTGCAATTCTATATGAATATTGTCGCAATTCAGGATCTGAACCTTATGAGTTTGAATTTGAGGTTTTACTACAACTTATTTGGCTTAATGGGTTCAAAACTATTATTTTTTTAATTAGTTAAATTTTTTATATATATAACGTCCGTATCAAACCTATTAATTTCGAATGAACCCATACCTATAACTCTACATCCGCCCCTTGATGCAGGTGTAAATATAACCATAGTTAGAGAGAAGTTCAGAAATCAAATTGTGGAAATGTTTGTCCATTTTCCTTTGTTCTACATTGTGTTTCATCTTTTTTTTTCCCCCTCTTTATCCAGGAATCATTTTCGTCTTTTCCCAATTATACCCATATATCCAATCTTTGCAATATATTTCTTCTATATATACTCCTCTGATTCCACGTAGTATTCCAAATTATAATACGTAACTTTCGCTCTAATAATATAAAATTATCAAGATGGATAAAATAGAAATATATTGATATATCCACAACCAAATACAGAAATAACAGATTGATATTGATTCTGATAACAAAGGAATTACACTGAAAAGTAACCATAACTAAAGATCGTAACAGAAAAAAAGGGGGTGGGAAGACAAAGCCACAGAGAGAAATAGTCGAGGGAGAGAGACCAGAGAGAGGAAGTTTCTATAAAATTCAGCCTAACTCTAGAATGCAATGAACGCATTATTATCTCCTGATTTCCTTGGTCTCTGTCATGCACAGCGCACATGCTCTATTTTCAGCCAAGTCCCATAAATGTGGAATCACCACTATTTTGATTCATAACAATACCCCCGTACTCAATAAGAACCTTGCCCTCAAGGTTCGAGTCGGGAATTCCTTCTATCCACATTACAATCAGATCATATAAACTAGGGAAAATGTCCAAAATTGTCCCTCTACTATCGTTTATTGTTTACTTCTGTCACTCGTTATACTTTTCATCCAATCTAGCCCCTACCGTTAATCAAGTTTTAAAAATTACCCCTAACCCTAACATTTTGACACCGTGACAGCTGAACCCCTCAATTTCATCCATGTCAGCTGTTATGTCATCGACCCCCCAAACTGAAACCCCACGGACCCATTAATGAATCACACCTGAACAGATTGAAACGAGTATAAATGATTCATAGTCGACCCCAAATAATTAGGGACCCAGACATAGTTGATTGATTGATTCGTATAAAACTGAGCTCAACATCAAAGTTATTACTCTAAACTCATTGAGAGCATGACTTAGAGATAAAAGATTCGATTGCTTTAAGAATAAGCAGTAGAAATTCATGTTGAACAGTGAAAATGAGATACAAGTAGAAATTCATATTGGTCAGCTGCCACGGTGTCAAAATGCTAGGGTCAGGGGTAATTTTTAAAACTTGATTAATGGTAAGGGCTAGATTGGACGAAAAGTATAACGGGCGGTAGAAGTAAACAATATACTATATTAGAGGGGCAATTTTGGATCTTTTCCCTATAAACTAAGCCTTTCCTCTACTGCATGTGTAAAATCTATGTTAGTATAACTGGCAGCAACAATGAACGTCCATAAAGCTAGATTTGTGTATGAACTTTGACTTCCTTGATTACCATCTGAAGCAATCACAAGAATTCCAAGTCTGAGGCTTGAAGTGACCCTATAGAAATGGCATCATTGAAATAATCTGCTTGGGAAGCATCAGGACCTAACATAATAAAACAATCTCATCTCTAAGTGCATCATTGAATGCAGCCAACAAGTCTACATTATAGAAACCAGAACTCCAACAAGTTTTGTACATCGCTATTCTGGCTAGTGGCAATATATAATCAGACACTTTCCTGCTTAAGGTTTTCAAAAGTGAATGTACCTCCAATGCCCAAGCCTTCATCTCAGAATTTTTCACCTTTAGTAAGAGACCTTCAAGCCCAGCCACATAATCCACACCCTCAATATTAAATGCTATCACAATGACAAATGTTGCTATTTGTTGCACAGTCTGTGGATAAGAGCATGGAAAAATCAGATACGGACACGTAAGTTCCATGTCGCTCACAGTCTCAAAGCACGACATTGCAACCAAACCTCTACTCCTTTTAGCAATTTCGTCAAATGATGTATGCGGCTCCGATTTAGAGCTTAAAGGAACATCAGGAAGAGTTGTACAACCAAAATCAACCATAAAAGCATGGTTAGTGTCGAACCACTTCAAAAATTTTATGCCCAAGCCATGGTTCTTGACAGTAAGACTTACTATCTCTCCACTCCAATTCCCTAAAAACACCTTGTTAGAAACAAAAATAATCACAGTTTCCACCATTTCGTTGAACAAATTGAGCTCACAACATGTTAAACTAAGTACTATACACCCAATAACTTGTGTAGTGTTAGTCACAATAGCTTCTGTTTCTTTCTTGGTCATTTGAAGAGGCAGTGTTCGGGCAAAAAGATCGGCACATGATCCATAAAAATAGAGTCAAATACCAGGAGCATCATCCAAACAAAAACACAGTGGCAAATATCCTAAATTTGTTTGTGGAACCAAATTGTTTATACCACTACCAATACCTTCAGCAAGTCTAGAAAGCATTGTCGAAAGCAACTCCCAACAAACCATATTGGCGAACACTGTATATATTTTGAATCGAAATTTCAAAGGTGCAGTGCAAGAATTCCACACAGTGAATGTCACGAACTTATCACGCTCAAAGTTGCTCGAGGCACCACATAATACACAATCATTTGTAACTCTAAGGAACGTGGTAAGCAAACTAGAGCCAGGATCAAATGGAAAGTCTAATCCGAATTGATCAGGTGGATATCAATGCAATGGTAAGACAAGATCAGTATGACCAAGGTCACCTAAGTGACTAAAATACCTCTGTTTAGAAGTTGGTCGTAAGTGCAAGCAGAAAGCATACAAGACATCACCTCCAAGTTTTGGGCTAGCCCAAGTCCATATCGACCAACAATCATGATGAGGTTACTAGAAATAGAGAATGCAGAACCAATATATAGTGGAGCCTTCTCTATGATTGCAATAACAACTTTTTCTTATCTATACGCTTGTTCCACAAACAGGCCGGCGTCCCATTTTGGTAGGAGTTTTGGGGCGCCTGATATCTTACCTACCCTTTCTTGATGCTCTCTCATTTGGTTGCGGAGTGTTTTATTCTCGTTCTCTATCTCCTCCATTTTTCTAAGGATGACAGCGAGGGCGTCGTTACCTGCATCATTAACAGAGTGAGTGATACCTGTCGAGGGAGGCTGGATATGTTGCTCATTGGTTGTTGTAACGACGTCGACTCGCACACCCTCTCTGCTCACCCTCTGAGGGGGTTTGTCAATTCAGTGTATTCGTTAGCCATATTTCTAGTAGCTTTTTACCGCTGGTGGTGCTTCTTCCGTAGTGGACGTAGAGGCTCCCTTTCCACAAGAAGCGGTAATGCTGCCATGAGGGGGTGAATCACTTCGCCTAGGTGAGATGCTTGGTGTCACGTTCTCCTCGTCCTCTTCGTGAGTTTCATTGATGGTGTTTAGGAGATTAGTAGTAAGATCTGCCACTGCTTTTAGTCTTTGTTCTCCATTTCCTGCCATGTTAGATTATGCAAGTAGGGGAAAAAAAGTCTTGTATTTTGCTATTGGTGTGTTTTTGTCGATCTAGAAAGACAATGATTTTGACTAGGAAGTCCCCACAAATGGCGCCAATTTGTTTGACTAAAAAGTATAACACTCTTTGTTAAACTAATAAAAAAATAACTAGATGAGAGATGAATCCTAGTCAAGCATAATAATTCTTAGATCTAGCTAAGTGCTTAAATGATACCATCTACTTAATGCCCATAATTGGTTATTAAGTTATTAAATGCACACTTTGGAGAATAAACGAAGAATGAATGATGAGCAATAAATATGAAAGTGGCAATAAATATAAATAAGAACAATTCACCCAAATATCGAATGATGTGGAAGATTCTTCCTCCTGACAACAGAATATGGCAATAAGTGAGAAAATGAACAATGCTTTCTTGGATCTTGTGAGTGGAAAGGAAGAATAATTGATAAAATCAATTACTGTGGAAAGGTAAACTTTTGTATTTTCTCTCAAGAGTCAACTTCTTACAATGGTTTCTCTCAAGATGAATCCCACTTGTCCCTTTTCCTCTCTCCCTTTCTATTTATATGG